CCTCTACCTGGAAACTGCGAATCTCTCTCTCTCTCTCTCTCTCTCTCTCTCACTCTCTCTCTCTCTCTCTCTCTCTCTCTCTCTCTCTCTCTCTCCTCTCTCTCTCTCTCTCTCTCTCTCTCTCTCTCTCTCTCTCTCTCCTCTCTGTCAGCCTCTGCCTATCTCTGTCTACCTCTCTCTTTCCCTTCTCCATCTCTTCTCAATCTCTCTCTGTCTACTCTCTCTCTCCCTCCCTCCCTCTCTCTCTCTCTCTCTCTCTCTCTCTCTCTCTCTCTCTCTCTCTCTCTCTCTCTCTCTCTCTCTCTCTCTCTCTCTCTCTCTCTCTCTCTCTCTCTCTGTGCATTACATACCCAGAAAATGTCTCTAAATGCCTTAAATTACCTTAAAAGGGAACAAGCCCTGGAATAGGACTCACTGCCAATATCAGGAAAAAGGGAATCCCCCCTTTGCGTCCCAGGTAAAGGCCCTGCAAACAGCTGCCGGTGACGTCACAGAGAACGGATATAATAGGAGTGCACTGGGACACCTTCACTCAGTCACCTCAAGACTACACTCGAGACACAGACACTGATAAAGCATCCTGAGCTTAACTAAGTCCTTGTCGGTCGTGCGATACCTTACTTTTTTGTGACAGGTAAGGTTATGTCCCAGTTGTAGATTGTGATGTAATAGTCGTGAAAGTGATATGGAAAAATGTGACCAATATTTCGACCGTTGGTTTTCATCGTTAAGCAATATCAAATATTCTAAACTTGTCTGCTGCTGATCACTGAAAGAAAAACAAACAAACTAACTGAATAATTTTCCCAGTTTCCAGTTTTCAAGACCACACCTAACGAAACAAGATGGTTGTCCCTGAAATGAACCTCGAATTCCCATTTTCTTCGGTAAGTAATTGTTTACAGATCACTTCGTTGCACCTCATCTAGTTTATCAGTTTAACAGTGTCATTAACTAGTGACCAGGATAGTAAGCATTGTTCTCAGCAACTTTATTCTATTTATAATGAATTACGGATATATATTTAATAGAATATCTATTATTTATGTTACTGTACCAACTGATTAACGGAATTGGAATTCATATCAAGTGAGACTAGAGGGCTAAAGACGTATTCGTTTTGATGGGGTCCGAAAATAGATTTTGGCAGACGGCATGTAAACATAGACGGTTCTGCAAGCACGGCGGATGTCTGCTTTGTTGTTGTTGTTGTTCTTGTTACGTATCTACATTTTCAGGATGTGTAAATGAATTAAAGAAAGGCAGAGAGAGAGAGAGATAACAATTATATACATCCTTTTGTTAAGAAATGCGAGTGAAAAGATATATATACATATGCATATATGTATATTAGTATATATGTATATATATACATATATATATATGTATATATATATGCATATGTATATATATGTATATTTATATTTTTCTTAGCAAAAGCAAAATTAAATCTTTATCTGCAAATTATAAAACTGCTTTAACCAATTTATGGTAATGTCACTGATTTTATTCATATGCATATTATCAAGTTCTCTGATCTAGTATTCGAGGCATATTATTAAACAGACTTTGCAAAGCTTATCGTGCAATTCCAGGGTAAAAAAAAGCTACAGTCAAACAAAAAGATGAACACATACTAAGAAAACGTAAATAAAAGGAAATCAGAGAGAAAAAAAGTTAAAGGCCAAAAAACATTACAAAAAACACAAAGGAGCAATTAAACAACAAACAAACAGCATCTTCGCAATCAAAGAATCCAAAAAAGTGGAGTTCGACTTATAAAAAGATGTAATAAAAAGTAACCAAGGACACTGGTCTATGTTCGTCCCAGGGTCTAATTCGGACCAGACAGGCATCCCCGCCTCACGCACCTCCTTGCTTCCTCCTCCTCTTCCTCCTTCCGTCTTCTCTCTCTCTCTCTCTCTCTCTCTCTCTCTCTCTCTCTCTCTCTCTCTCTCTCTCTCTCTCTCTCTCTCTCTCTCTCTCTCTCTCTCTCACTCTGTGTCTGGCTTTCTCTTTCTCTCTCTGTCTGTCTGTCTGTCTTCCATATCCTCTTTTTTCGTTCTGTGTTACTCCCTTCTTATTTTTTTCTTCTTCCTCTTCCCGCGATCTTCGTTACTCGCTCGTCTCCTCCCCCTCATCCTCTTCTTCCTCCTTCCACCCACCTCTCCTCCATCCCCAACCACCCCCTTCCTCCCTCCCCTACCCACCCCATTCCTCCTTCCCCTTCCCCCTCCCCCCTTCCTTCCCCCCCTGCCACCCACCCCATCTCCCCTCCTCGGCCACACCTGCTGACCAACCGCTGTCCTAAAGGGATGTGACAGTACCTCGATTGTCCCGACGGCGCGTGTGTCCCGAATTCTCGCTCGTTTGCCCCTTTCCTGACGTCCTGTTTCCCCCCTTTTTTACAGGGCCTGATCATGTCAGCTGTGTCGGAGGAGAGGCTTCGTGTCAGGCGTAAGTATCTTGTCACTTCTTCGTTCTTTATCGATCTGGATTTCACTCGTTTTCACAATGGTGAAGATGGCAGTGATGACAGATGTAAATTGATAACCATACTTTACTGATGATAAGTAAGAAAATAATGAATGTAAATTCACAGTGATGTTAATATTAGAGATATTATGTGTTCGTGTATAGATTGATAGATAGATAGATAGATAGATGGATAGATAGATATAGATATAGACAGATTGATAGATATAGATATAGATGATTGATTGATAGATAATACTCTCCTAAGTGCTGGGACACCATTCAGTCTTATCACCGCTTCCCATCCTCTCGCCTCAGGATCCGCCGGCGCCCGCAGCGTGTCCTACGGCTCCAGCGGCTCCTTGAAGCTGAGGCTGAAGGGCGACCAAGGAAACTTCCTGAAGGTGACGCCCGACGGGGCCGCCCTCGCCGTCGGGACGCAGCAGAACTCGGAGACGGGTAGGTGGACGCTCTGGTATTTCTGTATCTTATTTCTCTTCTTTCTTTCTCCTCTCTCCTCTCTCTCTCTCTCTCTCTCTCTCTCTCTCTCTCTCTCTCTCTCTCTCTCTCTCTCTCTCTCTCTCTCTTTCTTTCTTTCTTTCTTTCTTTCTCCCCCCCCCCCCTCTCTCTCTCTCTCTCTCTCTCTCTCTCTCTCTCTCTCTCTCTCTCTCTCTCTCTCTCTCTCTCTCTCTCTCTCTCTCTCTCTCTCTCTCTCTCTCTCTCTCTCTCTCTCTCTCTCTCTCTCTCTCTCTCTCTCTCTCTCGCTCTCTCTCTCTCTCTCTCTCTCTCTCTCTCTCTCTCTCTCTCTCTCTCTCTCTCTCTCTCTCTCTCTCACTCTCACTCTCACTCTCACTCTCACTCTCACTCTCACTCTCACTCTCACTCTCACTCCTCTCTCCCTCTCCCCTCTCCTCCCTCCCTCTTCTCTGTCCTCTCTCCTCCTTTTTTCACCCCATTAAACCTTTAGAAATTTATAATCTTTCCATCAGACATTACGTATTGACCCCTTTTATCAACCCTTTTAACATTGTTCTCTCCCCTCTTTATCGCAGTGTGCTTCACCTTCCACACCTTCAGCCCGTCGACTCCCTACCCAGAAGGCAACGGGGTCATGGTGCTGGAGAGTCCACTTGGCGGGAAATTCATCCAGGGGGCGACAGGCGGCTCGGTTTCCCTTGTGGTGAGTTTTTTTGTTTATTTATGTTTTTGTTGAATTGTCGTGTGTTTCTTGTTTTTCTCTTTTCCTATTTCTTTTCTCGTCTTGATATATATATATATATATATATATATATATATATATATATACACGTGATTTCACTTTTTTATCTAATCTTTTCTCTTCAATTTTTCTGTCTTTTAGGAAATCGAAATGTATAGCAGATAGTGTAGACTATGATAATTTATTTGTTCGATATAGAATAAGCTTATCTTATTTGTCCTACATTAACCATCTGAATAATCATCTAGGTATATTATCTACATATCTAAACGAGATGTAGAAAAAAAACTCGTCTAATCAGCCGCTAACTTTCCATTTTTGACGCCTTTCCCCATAGCAAGGATCGAGCAGTGACCTCAGCGCAGTGCAGGAGGTCGACGGCCGATTCTTCCTGCTGCACAGCGCCCCGGGAGACATGTTCACGAAGATCAAGCACATCCAGACGGGTGAGTTCTTGCAAATCGAACTTGCATATTGATAATTGATAGCTATGTGTTCGTTTTCTGAACATTATAACTAGTTTGTTTTCTGTGTTTGATATTTCTGATGTTTGTAATTATGCGTGCATATTAGATGAGCATTTCACAACAGAGAAATAGTGCTCAATGCCTTACAACATGCGTTACAAGCAGTTGCCATGGCAACGATAATACAAAGAAAATGAACATTCCTAATCTTTTGAACGTAAACTCATATAAATAACTTTAAATAAATAAATTTAGTTTTGCAACTGAAACGTTGGGATAACGAGACAGGAATCACGCAATAAATATATCCAGTATCATATATAACTAAACAAGCTAAACCAAACGATCCGTTGGCAAATACAATGTTGTGAATTTCAGGGCTCTTGCTGTCGTCCAGCGGAGCCGGGATCTCCCTCGTCGCGGCTGACACGAACAGCGACAGCGTGCTCTACCAGACGTTGCCTTGCAGCTCCTGAATCAGCTCTCAGCCCGCGGATGTTGCATCCAGAATACTGATGTTACCTGATATGTTTAACTACAGTCTTAGGATATGCAACTGAAATACTTGTGGTATTTCATTCAAGTTCCTAGGATAAATACATTCATACATGCCAACAAGCAAACAGACACACACAACAAACATAACAACGTGCATATATGAATGCATATGTATATACACACACGTTTTGTATATTTCCATGTAATTCTAGTATTTATTTGTCATATTTAAATCTGAGATTACCTATTTATTGTGCATATATTAATATAATCCTAGATTTTATTTATTCAAACATTATTTATTGTGCAGTTCACTGTAACTCATTTCAAGTATCCATGTA